TTGTCAACGGCACGGCGACGAGGGTGGAATGTGCGCGTAACTCTTACACACGTTGCGAGAGCAGTAAATCAAAAACAGTATCACGTTGGGAGAGAGAAGAGAGATGAGCGCGGAATGAGCGCGTTTTCATGCTCGAATGCAAACAAAGAGGCTCGATGACAAAACCTGGATAGCGTGAATGCCTCCCCCGTCTATAGGAAACACAAGAACTAGTAATATCGCCGAATTCCCTCCGGGCGTTGATCACGTGATCCGAAGGCGTCTTCAGTTTCCCACTGGCACACGATCATCCGTCGAAGAAACGCTCGCTCGGCTCGGATTTAATTCACGATCTGTGTATGCGGTGACGCTCTGTGTTCGACGTGAAAAACGATGGAGTACATGTAGAACACGATTGAACGAAGTTACTTCAGAAAAACGTGAGACTCGGAACGTTTGAACGAGGCAGTTTTTAAAATAAGGCGATGCTTTGTTGACGAAACTAAATGAACGCCGTTTTCTTTTACGGTAACATAAAAATTTGAATAATATCTGCAACAATAGTTTCTTTATCTTTGGAAACGGAAGAATTGCTCTCACGGGCGATTTTTAAATAAATGCATGAGAACTACAGAAACAGGGTTTCATTATTAAATTTCATGGATCTTTTATTGCTGTACTTCCGCTTTACTTCCCAAATGAAACACTTCTCCCATCGTTGATTCAAAATTAATTTCCGACCATTCGTATGAATTATATTAAAGGAAATCGTAGAAATGCATGTGTATGTGTAAGGACTTTCGTAGAAATCACCAGTACATGTAATAAGAAAGTTGAAAAATTCGTTTGAATGGCGAGGCGAGACGCAGCGGCTTAAGTGGAGAGAAATAGCGCCATTAAGTATATGTATATGCGGACTCGTAATTTCCTCGCTAAGCAGTCACATTCTTCTTGTTTACCCTGAGAGCGAGCTGCTAATTGATTTTCACAGGCCACTGTGGCCGAGGAATTGCGGGAAAATGCAGGAACGTGTTGATATACGCGCGTTTGACTTCGTATAATCAGTTATCCTGCCCTCTTCAGACTTTTTTGCCGTTTTCAACCACCTCAAGTCGCACACCGTCGCACCGAGTTGCCAAAGTTAATTACGCCTATTGTTCTTCCGCTCCGCGTACAATTATTCGAGCAGAAAACATTTCGATTTAAGACCGAGGTAATAAACTGTTTTATATTTTAACTATATTCAATGCGCTAAAGAGGAAAGTTCCTCTCTGAGCGCTTTTAAGGATGTATTGGCTATACAATCAATCCCAAAAGTTTATACACTCTAGAAACGCATTTTTTAAAAAGAAATCAGACGTCGGAAGAACATTGTTAATAATAAACAACAAAAAAAAATTTTCGATTTTTCCGAGATTTTTCCAAGGGGTACCCCTTCAATTTCTTCCAAATTTTCGTTTTTGGCCAATAATTCCCAAACCGTTGGATATACGGAAAAATTGCGTATGACCTTTCTTGTAGAGGACGACGAGATGTACAATTTCCATGTAAAAATTTTTCGCTAGCGTCTATAGTTAACGACTAATTTGCAAAAAACTGTTTTTTCGTTTTTCGTCAATAACTCGTTAAATATTAATGCTAGCGAAAAAATTTTATACAGAAATTGTAAATCTCGTCGTCCTCTACAAGAAAGGTCATATACAATTTTCCCGTAGATTCAACTGTTTAAGAGTAATTAAGGAAAAATGAAATTTTTTGCCAAAAGTTCGCCGTTTCGACGCTGGGA